ATCCTATAGGCCTAATATCTAACATATTTTTTAACGATTCCACATCAAGACCAATAAAATTTACATCATCGGCATATGAACACGGGTATTCCAGTATTAGAAATAGGCCTAAGTGGATTAGGCTGCGATGTTCTCAGGCCCGTAGCCGGGGGGGGGGGGTTATGGTTCGGGCGAACCCCCCTTTTCTAGCGAACCCCCCTGTTTCTAGCGAACCCCCTGTTTTCTAGCGAACCCCCTCGAATTTTTGGATGAGTCCCACTCGGACGGAATGTCTGTTTTTAACTTACCCAGCATTTAATCAAAATTTATCACCTAATTCATTATTTGGTCACCCGTTTTTAAATTGTAGCCTGCGATACAAGCCTACATTCATAGAATATCTCAGCTTCAGAAGTTCGGAGATTTAAATTGAACGCAAGTCCGGCAAACCATGACTTTAAGATAACTCACATAAGGATGGCAAACATCGATAAAAACGTTCACTGGCCTTTGGCTGAATGCTTGTAAGAAATGTACCAACCGGTAACGAAACCGGTCTCCGTCTACCTAGAGTAAATGGCGCTACCAAACGAAGATAAACTTTTGCGACTTAATCCACCAAATGCAGCTAAAGTTTTGCGACTTAATTATTGTGGATTGTGTGGTTAGTAAATTCCATAGCCATACTGTCCATAGCGCACACCAAACTATTTGCTGATGGAGCATTGTTGGGAAATTGACTTTACTTTTTTCCATCCCAAACACCATATTATTAATAAATCAACATGGTTTATCTCAGTCATCATAGCGAGTCACAAAATTAGGAAGTTTGTTTTCAACAGCAGACACACACAACAGAACGGAGTGCGTCAAAATCTAAAAAATACGTACTGGCATTTTGTAATACACATTCCCTTGTTGTACAGTATGACATGTTTCATTAACATAACATACACTGAGGATCTCCAACGAATTGGGTGGGTATTCAAACTTTTACGATATGGTGAACTATTTCGATTAAAATTAAAGTGATTATATAAGAATTAGATGAGTCACTGTCAATAAAACAATTCGCGGAAGAGGAGTATTCAAAATAGATCGGTACTGTTAATATGGGATTAATCAGATGACTGACGCCGTTCTCCATCAACAATTGATTTTGTGTGCATTATTTATCTACAATTCTTATCTACAATATATACACTAGAAAATATTTACACTCACAATTTAAAAAAAGAAGTTACCAACAACGACATCTAAATAGCTGTGGGAAAACAAATTATCAGCCTGCTGCTCTCTGCCTGAATAGTGACCATAACCGAACAATAATGATGCAGCAACACGCTTGGTCAACTTGCAAAAATTTAGAGCCTTCTGCTGTTTGCCCATAAAACAAATTTTGGAGTGTTATACAGTACAATTTCAAAACAATGTCATCGTAAAGAAACAGCTATAGTATTGAAAACAAACAACTTGAAACAAAATCGGTGTACGAATTTAAATAAATATTTACAATAGATTTTAATGGTCAACTTGTTGTCAAATTTTACGACCAATTTTTGCATACATTTGTGAGTGACGGTGTGTAATAGACATGCAAAACAAACATTAGCGGTTAGCTGTATAATATATTTTTGAATATCATTTTAGACTGATTCATTCATATGCTTGGTCATCTTGTAATCATTTAGAATTCAACAGTTTTTAATAATAGGGTCCGTATCTCTACACTTCTAGACGTTGTATCAAATTATAGTTGCCATAGACCCGGTTTCATACACACTCGCTTAAGTAAATTTCGAAGGAAACTGTTTTCCCAATTTTTCTTATTGTAAATACTCCTATGCAATACTGTAGTCTCCTGGTATAAAATTGACAGATCAGTTAGACACTCTGAAAAGATTGATTACGCCCTTTTATATAATAAGGCCATAGGCATAATGTGTGTGAAGTACTGACTTTGTTAATATCGAATGGGTGAAATTGCGCACAAACTTCAAACTCTTGGCCTAACATACAATGCCACAGGAAAGGATATCACGTTTTAGTCACCAAAAAGGATTTTCCACGGACGCACAGAGTAGGCCTTCGAATAGTATGGCCCAAAGCGAACGAGTTTCTGATCTCGAAAATCTAGACACTTCGTTAAGGCTTATACAGTATAAAATTTAAAAAAGCTTTAAAATGAAGGACTTTTAAATGAAGTTTATGTATATATACTAATATTTTGCGAATCTTGGGTTTTTTTAAAAGCAATCTTGGGATTTTTTAGACCCAATCTTGAATTTTGATTTTTCTTAGTGGTCACGCTGCATTTACCCCAACGACATCAAAGTAAGTACAGTAGAACGTAGGCCATAGGCCTATATTTAAAAAAGAAATACATTTTGTTAATTATTATTGGTTGGCCTAGGACCTAGGCAGGCAGGCCAGCTTTGCCGTCGAAAGTCCTGGGATTCGACGATGACGTCAGTGCACATGTTTACAAACGCCATTGATTGGAATGAAAATAGACGCGCTGAATTTCGTTTGTTCTATGAAAGATAGTATTTATTTTATATTTACAATATTTTACATTTATCTATATAAAAACAAGATTAATATTGTAGAAATTGTATTTCTAAAGATTCATATATAATTCATATTTCATTTAGTAGACAATAAATATTCAGTAAGATACTAAAAACGATTATTAATTCTGAAATGTGCATCAAATCACAGCTATTATTAATCAGTATGTATTAGGTTAAAGTCTTAAAACAATAATTTCGAATTAGGCCTAGTAAACAAATAATTGTAATTAAAGTTTAGGTTCCCATGATGTCCGATGACGTATTCAATATGATGCTATATTTTGGAATCTGACTTAATTTAACGATGGCCCTGTCAGTTGTAGTAATGACAATAATTGTGATTTTTTTTTTAGCCATGTTGTAAAAATAGTACCGTACAAGATGAGAGTCAAGAAGAAGTTCAGCTTCTACTTTATTCTGTAACAGGCAACTCCATTTTTTTATATAGGCCTACAGGAAGATTCATTATTTTAAGTTAATACAAGACAAAACTTCTTAAATGTTTTATATATTATAATAATAAGTACATACCGTAATTCTTTGTAAATTACTTTGTAGGCCTATAAATAGCCTGTTTTGTTTTATAATAATAAATGTGTTGAGTATATTGATTTGACTTTCCGTGTGATTAAAACATGCCAATTATCAGAAAATATTTTCCAATTTTATTATATTACCCCCTTTTATTACATAGATCTTTTTCAAAACATAACTGCTTTTATAACATTATATAGACCCATTAAACACAAAAACTGCTCTGGCTTCGGGGGCTTAGCCCCCGACCCCACCGGGG